TTGGCCAGCCAGCACTTCTGTGCCCACACAGACACTGCAGTCACGGAGGCACTTAGCTCGTGTATATTGGCTGCTGTGCCTGCCCCTCGACACCACAATCCCGGTTCTCTCCATTTGGGGCACGTCCGGCTGCTCATTCCCTGAACTTCAGCTTTGGTCAGCGCCCTGCCAAACCCCTCTGCGGAGCTGTGTGCACGACACAGGGCAGCACTGGCAGTTGGGGCACGAGTCCCTCTGGCTTGGGATCCTGCTGGTTCGCAGTGCCACCCGCTGGCCGAAGCTCTCCAGGGACACCTCTTCGGCAGGTTTCCTTCTGCACAGCTGCTGCTCCATAAAGAAAATCTCAAAGATCAGCCCTGCCTGGTGTTAACACCGACAGCAGCGCCTCCAGTCACTGCTCCTGCTCTCATGGGTTCTGAACTCTCCTGGCCTGGGCTTCTGCAGTTCAGGACTGCCCCAAGGTCCCTGGGTGCTTGGAGCAGAGTTTCTTAGCTCAGGTCCCCTCCCTTGGGTAGGACAGGGGTTAACAGAGCAGGCAGAGGTAAGCAGCACTGGCAGGGACAGCAGGAGAGCCTATTAGCTTTAGCTTAGAGAGAGCCTCACCAGCTGGAGATTTTTAAATAATGCTGCCTATTAATAGGCAGTGAGCACTTATTTAACACTTGACAAATGACATGATGGGGGCGTCCGCTCTCAGAGCACCGTCTCACGGAGCAGCAAGGACTGGAGGGTAGCCTGTCAGTCCCCAAAATGACAGTAACAAAAGAGGGTTTTGGTGCTTAGTCTCCAGGCGCTGGTCCCTTCCCAACCCCCCTTGAATCTCCAGAGGAAGAAGAGGATTAGAGCAAAGGCGGGAGCTGCAGGACTGGCGCACTAAGCCATTCCATTTTGTATCCCAAATAGTATCTGCCTAGGCATAGGGAAGCCGCAATCTAGCTCCACAAAAGCTAAGCTACCACCCCAGCCACTCACCCAGCGGCGTGCTGATGAGTCTTCGCAGCTTTTCAGGGCCAGAAGGGCCGTAGAACTCTGCCTCCGAATCCCTGCCTCAGGCCCGTCACGTCCAGTTGGGCCCGCGCCTGTCGTTCACAAGGAGCCGGCCTTGCCTTGGATTCCAAGTGATAGCGAAGCTGCCGCGTCCCTAGGCAAGCTGTTCTGGGGCAAATTCTGTCTCCTAGAGAACCCGCCTACCTTCACTAACCACATGCGGGCAGAACAAACGTGGTAACAAACCTGTTAGCCAGACTCATTTCCCCCTACGCCCATGTTGACTGACATGAATGCTACTACCACCCAGGGCTGGGGAACATTTTTTGGATTGGGGGCCACTGACCCACAGAAAAAAGTCAGTCAGGAGCCACACACAAGTGAGAAGCAAAAAAAAAAAAAATAATAATAACCCCTCCCTGACATGGCCCCTGAGTGAGGAGAAAGACACTCCCCACATCCCCCCCCACAGCAGAGACAGGGAGGGCCAGGCTAGTAGATTTTGTGTGCTCCAGCCCCATGGTGGGCAGCCGGGGGGCTGGAGCACCAGCACGGGCTCCCCAATGCTGGGGCCTCTCTTGGCTCATGGCTCCCCATTCAAGCCCCTAGCTACCTGACCTCTCTTACAAAGTGGCCTTCCTGGGAGCTATTACCACCACCAGCTGGGTGTCGACACTGCGAGCCCTTACCTCCGCGCGTCCTGATCCTGTTTTCTATAAGGATACGGTGCAGCTGCACCCCCATCCAGCCTTTTTGCCCAAGATGGTGTCGCCTTTTCGCACCCATGAGGCCCTTTTTCTTCCCTAAGCCCCACACCTCAGACAAAGGGGCAAGGCCCTGCCTTCCCCGGACGCGAGGCGAGCCCTTGCTTTTTACACAGAGCGCACTAAACCATTCCACCGCTCGGCGCAGCTTTTTGGCGCAACTGTGGAATGTGTGAGGGGCCTCCTGACTTCGTCGTGGCACCTTTCATCCTGGATCCCCGTGTGTGTCAAGCTGTGCTGTGGGCTGGCAAGGTCCCAGCCTGCCTATCACCATGCGCCCACTTCATCAGCTGCCTTTCTGGCCGACGTCCCGATTTCTGCTAAGCGGTCGTCCATGCGAACCTTCCCGGCTCATCACACCCTCGCCCAGCAGCCCCGGGATGATGCGGTGTTCGGCAGAGCCGTGGCCCAAACCCTCCACCGTGCAAACTTCTGGAAAGTCTCCCTCAACTTATCAAAAGAGTAACATCAGCAAAATACTGTCCCCTCCCACTTCCATTCAAAGGGACCTCTGGCGCGGAGCTCTGAAAAGGGGGCACCCCTTTGGCTTGGGGGTTCCACCCTGCTAGCACTGAAGCCAATTGCCAGACATTCCCTTGACCTAAGTGGGAGCAAGGTCAATGCCCTGCACTTGGTGCCTATTAACTTTTGGATCCGATGACCAGCATTTATCCTCTATTACAACCACTGAGTTTCCCATAAGCCAGTGGAGCTTCGGGGCTCCTGTGAAATTCAAGGCTGATTATGTAAAATGCATGTGGGCAGATGCCGGGCTGTCAGCATCCGGCAATAAAGCCTCATTACCCAGTGAGCAACTGCCGGCAAAATCCATGCTCCAATCAATGAGGAGGAGAAGACTGAACAATGGTCAGATGGAGGCAATTTACGAACATTCATTGCTTTTCAGCTGAGAAACAAGAGCGACTGCTCAGAGTCATTTATACTTCCCATTAATTCTTACAGTCAGTGGCCAGGGTTCGTTCTATGGCAAATTACAACTCTGGCAATTGTATCCTGCCTTCCTACGCTCCCCCGTGCGCCCAGCTCTGACGGCTTTCTGTGACAATTGCTGTGGAGGGAGCCTGTATTCCAGCACCGCTTCATTTTTTTGTACAATAAGCAGAAACACCTGTGTGCCCCTTGCTTTGAGCTACAGGGCCTCGATTCACAGGCTACAGAAGTTGGAGAAGCGTCACATAGAATCCTAGACCACTAGCACTGCAAGGGAGCTCGCGAGGTCATTGAGTCCAGTCCCCTGTCCTCACGGCAGGACCAAGCACCGTCTAGACCATCCCTGACAGGTGTCTGTCTAACCTGCTCTTAAATATCTCCAGTGATGGAGATTCCACAACCCCCCTAGGCAATTTACTCCCGTGTTTAACCATCCTAAAAGGTAGGAAGTTTTTCCTGATGTCCAGCCTAAACCTCCCTTGTTGCAGTTTAAGCCCATTGCTTCTTGTTTTATCCTCAGAGGCCAAGGGGAACAATTTTTCTCCCTCTTCTTTGTGACAGCTTTTTAGACACTTGGAAACCGCTATCATGTCCCCTCTCAGTCTTCTCTTTTCTAAACAAAACAAGCCCAATTCTTTCAGTCTTCCCTCCTAGCTCATGTTCTCTAGACCTTTCATCATTTACTCATCAATTCCAAAGGCTTAGACCCTTGCTGAAGACTGTCACAAAGGGTTTGTTATGGGTTCTCTCACCTGGTCAACAGCAACGAACAATGTGCTGACAAAGGGCAAAAAACACTGGTAAAAAAACAACTTTGTGGTTTCCACCCTCTGAGTGCCCAGAGCTGAGTCATATCTGGCTTTGAGAGGCGGCACTAGGCAGAGCTGCAGGTGCAGGTGGGTACAAGTGACTAAGAGAAGACCCAACTTTTCCAGACTTAATTTCTTCTTCTGCTTGCTCAGAAAGAAACTGCCTGCAAAGTGTTGTTCATTTGGGCTCACATACTGCTTTACTCTGCACAACATTGCACTGCACTGACACTCAGAGACTAAAGACTTGTTCGTGTACATTTTCCGTTAAAAGCATTTTCGGAACAGAGCGTCTAGATTGGCACGGACGCTTTTCCGCAAAAAAGCCCCGACCGCCATTTTCACGATGGGGGCTTTTTTGCACAAAACAAATCTGAGCTGTCTACACTGGCCCTTTTGCGCAAAAGCTTTGTGCAAAAGGACTTTTGCCCGAACGGGAGCAGCATAGTATTTCCGCAAGAAGCACTGATTTCAGACAGTAGGAAGTCAGTGCTCTTGTGGAAATTCAAGCGGCCAGTGTAGACAGCTGGCAAGTTTTTCCGCAAAAGGAGCTGCTTTTGTAGAAAAACTTGCCAGTCTAGACACAGCCTCAATGCTTGTGTAACCTTGATGGAGCCAGCAGCATCCAGGGCTGGGTTCAGTATCTAGGGGTTCCCCTCCATCCGTCCAACACAGAACCGGCTCAAGCCCCCCTCCAGCCAGCTGGGAAATTCACACATTTCCTCTGGGTGCCTCTGGGAGGCAGCGCTTCCTCATGCGCCCACACATGGGAGGGAAGTCACGTGGCATTAATTTGGGAAAACACCACAACCAGAGTTCATAGACATAAGCCATGGGGAACAGTCTCATCCAAGTATACTGCCTAATGTCATTTTTCTCTCCGGTTCTTAAGTTCCACAACCTAGATGTGACAATCACATTCTCAACCCTTCTCTCCACCCCTCTCAGAGTTGCTGCCCTTGGTCAGGGCAGACCCAGGCTATGTCTAGACTGCAGGCTTTTTGCGCAAGAAGCTTTTTTCGGAAGAGATCTTCTGAAAAAACTTCTTGCGCAAGAGCACATCCACACCGCAAAAGCACATCGAAAAAGCGAAATGCTTCTTTGAAAGAGAGGCCTGGATGCTCTCTCACATGTGAGCTGTGATTGCTATGGACAGAATGGCCGCCAGGGCACCTGTGCTTTTTCCTCTTCCCTCTTCTTCTGAAAAAAACTCCCTCTTCCCCATCCACACACAAAAAAAGAGACCTTTTACTAAAAGGCTTCTTCCTCGTAGAAAGAGGATTACCAATTGCACAAAAAGCCCTCTGTTCTTTGGATTTACTGTCGAAAGAACGTGCTTGCAGTGTGGACGTAACTCAGGTTTTGTCAGGAAAATGGCTGTTTTCCTGACAAAACTCTGTTGTCTAGACATAGCCTCAGAGTCCTGAGGTGCAGCCGCAGAATTCACCTCCCATCCTGTGGGAAGGTGGTAAGGAGACGTCCTACTCACTCTGCTGGACACGCGTCATCTGCCTGCTGCTGCCGGCCACTCGTTGCACCACCTCTCCACCGCCGCCTGTCACCCTCTGCTGCCGTGCACCGCTTGGCGCTGGCTTCTGCCCATCAGTCTCACGTGAGTTCAACTCTCAGCAAGCAGAATAGAAAAACCACAACTGCAACCTAATTAACATAAGAAAGAGGCTCCTAATGATGCCTAATTACAGCTCTGGTCATAGAACAGCAAGACCGGAGAAGTCCAAATCAGTCAAAGCAAGGGAGGACAGATAACCTGCCCTTACTCTCCTTGAGCTCGGAAAGTCAAGCCCCTGCGTGGCAAGGTGCTTTTTGCTCACGGTGAGCCCTCTGGAACAAATTGTCACAATCCTACATTTCTGTACTGTCACAATTGCAAACATTGCTAACTATATTTTACCTATTCCTCTGCATTTAGTACAAATTTAACTGGCAGGGAGGGCGGGGAATCACCCACAAAGTTGATTACAATGAGCAAAATACCACTCTTTCTGCCGAATAGCTAACACAGCTAAGCAAAGCAGGAGCAAACTGTATTTGCATAGACACACCCAGGCTCTCTCTCGCCACTTCCAGCTACCTGTAAGGGAAGCAGTGCTTCCGATCCTGCTTGCTCTTGTGGTCAAGTCCCCCATAGTGGCCAGCTAGAGATATTACAACAGCCCCTTTATTTGATCACAGCTCTGAGCCCAGACTCAAGCAGTGGAAGGCCTGTGCTATTGCTTCAGTAGGCAGGGTATGAGGGATCAGCCCAGCTGTAGATATGGTGGAGGTATTTGCCATGTTGTTCATTTACTTCCTTTTTCTCCCCAGTGTGCACACTCCAGCATGGTGAATTGCAAAACTCAGATACAAAATTACAGTCTTAATTGCAGTCTAACACCAGTGTCATCACCTCCCTCTCCCCCCGCATTACAAACAACGTTGCAAAGCCTGATGCATTCCGGTTATAGTCTAGTCTTGGTGCACAAAACCACTAGCCACTTCCACTAGGAGACTATGCTGTAGCTTAGTAGATGTCTGACACTGCAGTGTAGCTTTATGCTCAGCTTCTTCCCGTTGCTCTGAGTTGCATCTAAACCCCCTTAAATTCCCTCTTTTCCCCGGCCCATTGTTTACCTTTCAGCTTCTTAGGGTTTGTTTTGTTTTTTTAATGAAAGCCACCGACGGCGACATTCCTATCTGTCACGAGAGATGGGTTTGTGGGTGGCACAGTCCGGAGTCTCTCCCAGAGTCACCACAATTGCATGAAGCTCCCGGTGGATTCTAGCACCGGGTGCCTACGACACATCCCTCTGCCTCTAGGTACCCTGTAACCCTCCTGCTATCCAAAGGTTCCTGGTGTTCGTGCGCCACACACTGAGCTGGTGTGAGATGATAGGAAATGACAGCAGTGAAGAGAAAGACCTAGGACAAACGGGATGTAGTTGCCATGGAAATTGCTTAGTCGCTGCAACGGTAGCAACAAAAGAAGAAAAGTCTCATTGATCAAGCCAGGGTTTGACTTCATTTTGCTTTAGGGAAAAGCTTGGGGGTTAAAATGGTAACACCTCCTCCTGCCCGTTGTCTTCCTTCAAAACAGCGCTGAGAACACAGGCCAGAACATATGTGCAATGCAGCCTTTCGTTTGCTCGGGCCAGGTATTTCTCTCTCTCGTTAATCATTTCCGTGGCAGCACATTAGCTGAGCTGCATCGCGCTGCGATCCCAGGATGGAACGCAGCAAGCCCTGCAAAATTCATTCACTTATTCTTCCTTCATTCATTTATTCGCCCATTCATCCGATTCATTCACATTTGCTTTGCAGCTTAATGAGCAGCGCCTAGCCTCTGGAGCGCTGCCAAGCCTCCGGCCGGCATGCTCCCTGTCAAATGCAGCAGCCGACCCGCGAGTCCTGCGCTCGCTAGCTTGCCAGCTGAGCCCCGGCATGCTCTAAATGCCTCCAGTGTTCGGCACAATTGGGCCACCGTAATCAGGTTAGCTCAAATCCAATTAGGCTTCTTCCTGGGCCTTCCCCTCCCCGTCCCAGCTGGCCACCCACCGCTTTCTGTTTGCGGGGGCCGGCCCGGGTTTCTCTAATGAGGGCACAGAGCAGGAGAGGGGTGGTGGGTGGGATTCCACACATCCTGCATTGTGGCACCCCGCAGAGGTAGGGTGAGATGACGGATTACAACAGGGATGAGCCTCCATCCACAAACACATCAGGTGCTTACATTGACTGGGGCTCTGGTCCAAAATATCTCCAGGCGACTGAGGGAATGTGGCTGGCACAACTCAGGCCTATATGCCAGAATGTCGGGGGGGGGGGTCCTTTTTTTGTCAATGTGGCCCGCAAGGGTGTGAATGCGGGGAAGCAAGTGGGGAAATCAGACCCAGCCTTCCCCCCAGCCGGCCGGAGCAGGCTTCCTTGCGGGACCATCGGGGGGCTGCTTCTGCACCCTTTGCACACACACCACGCCCATGTACGGGCCTGCAGCTAACTAGGTAACTGTAATTGGATGGGCCTAAAGAGGCAGCATGGCCTAGTGGGCAGGAGACTGTACTGGAGCTTTTAGAAGACTGACAGAAGAACCTACCATGTGTCCCCGAGTAACTCACCTCCCTTTTGCCTCCACCAGAAATGCTTCCGGGCAAGTATCGTATCAAGCTGCATGTTTGTACAGCACCTAGTACAATGGGGGCTGATCTCTCGGGGCTCTGGTCAGTGGTTCCCAACCTATGTACCGTGGTAGGCTGCGTATGCAGCTCTCTCTGTACCATGGATCGTAGCCACGCAATATAGAGCTATATACTGCCTGTATGGCCCTGCGGGTGTCACATGGGCCTCAGCTGCTTGCTGGTCGGGCTGCAGGCCGAGAACCACCCCTCAGAGTGCTACCGTAATGCCTCTTGCCTTCTCTTAATGAATGTTTGTATTCTGCACACACATTCTGTGGCCGCTGGTAATCAATTGGCAAAGCCAGATAGCAGGGAGCTGGAGGAATGAGTGCCCGGATTCACATGGTGAAGACAGACGTGTGTCAGAGGGGCTAGAAGGTATCCAGCGCCCCTGCACTTGTTCCCTTAATGCTCCAGGGCGGCGGCGAGAGTGCACACAAACACCAGTCGTTGCTGCTAGTCTTCACGAAATAGAGCTCCTGCACGGCTGGGAGTCTCTTCCCTCTCTAGCCCACTTCTGACGTCTCCAGCATCCTTTAAGTGGCCGTCATTTCCTTTCTTGTCTCCGCCTTCAGCTCCTCGCGCCCCGCCTAGGGTGGGCAGGCCCGGTGAAGATGACGGTGATGGCATCAGTCAGAGACCACGTTGCAACTGGCGCTTGCTGCACTGAAATCCCACTAAGCCGACCTTCCTGGTCGCCCCTTTTCCTCTCTCTTGCTGAGCAGGCAGTGATCCGGTGTGGGTTTTATTATTGTTACTCGGTTATGACCCCTGCGTGGCTTCTTCCACCGGCCTGCCGTGACTGATTCTCTCGAGCAGTTCTGGATTCTGCTCATTCCTGAAGGAATTTAAATGTCTGAGTTCTGGCTGAGAACAGGCTGGCTGAAAATCCAGGAAAGATTAAAAGGAGGAAAGTGGTTTCTCCTACCTATGACTGCACACGTGGGAAAATTATTCCTTCTCCTTCCCCAAAACCTGCCTTACAGTGCACTCCAGCAATCTGTATTCTGTCTCTCCAAAGGGCTACATGCCTTCTGGACCCAAGCAAGCAAACCAAAAGCACCCATTCTCCAATATGTAATGGAGAGAGACTTTGCTTTGATCCGGTGTGGTTTTTATTGTGGTTACTCCGTTATTATCTCTGCGTGGCTTCTTCCACCAGCTGGCGTGACTGATTCTCTCCAATAGTTCTGGATTCTGCTCATTCCAGTGGTACTTCTGCATGCGGGTGGCTTGCTGGAGGCTCTGTGACCAAGGTAACTGGGAGTGAGCTGCACAGCTGAGCTACCCATCAAGTTAATTAGGAGTGGGCGATTGATGCCCCAGTGCATTCTGGGACAGAACGGCAGCAAAGCCGTGGTCTCTGGAATGTGAAAGCAGGTAGCAACGAAAGGCCAGTGTAGTTTCGCACAGCTGACAGCAGGACCTGGGATGCACTTGAATGCTAGGAAAGCCAACACTGAGCCGTCTCTATTACGTTACTAGCTCGGTGACTGCCCATGCTTTGTTTCTCCATCCCTATTTAGTACTAGAGACCTTAGTTGTTGTAAATGCAGAGTACAGAACAGCCTGGAGAGGTTCAGTCGGAATAGAGCAGGCAGATGGTGGACGGGAGGAAGGCAGTAAGTCTCATCTGCTTTACTGATTTGGGGAGTAAGGGGGAAACTGAGGAAAGGGTGTTTAAGACTTTCCCACTGGATTCTGGTAGGACTTTGCACAAGGTGAAAATTAGCTCTGCCTAGTCCTGGAAATGATTCATTCACCCAATGTTGTCTCTTCACTGTATCTTGATTTCCTGTGCTCTCCAATTCATCTGACATGGCTCCATGGGAGAGCAATTCCTGTCTTTCTCTCCCTTTAGAACTAGTTCCTTAGCTCCCACTTCCCATGGCGCATACTGTACAGATGATCAGCCCTGCCCCTGAACGGTGCTGACACTCGCAATGCTAGCCTGAAGCCAATGGGTCTTCCGCGGCGGTGGGGGTGGGCTGGAGAATGGAGAAGAGGAAAGGAAAATGCTTTTCCCTTCTCCAGTGAACAAAGACCCAGCAAGGTTCGGCTGAATGGGTCAATTTCACACCAAGGGATGATGTTCCAGGACTGCACCTGGAACAGGTATATACAGATGCTAATACGTCCTTCTTCTCATCGGAAACTGAATCTCTGACTTGGCCTTTTACTTCCTGTGCATCCCAAATGAGCCTGCCCGAATGCAGAGGTGAGCTAGTACCACCACCAGGCTAATCTTCCATCAGCTAAGCAAGTTTATTTATTTTGACGGTGGGATAGCTTTCTTATAAAGGAGCTTTCTAGCCGTGGTATTCAGAGGGGGGAAAGATCAGGCAAAACACATTAAAGGGTCACTCGTTGGCAAATACAACAGTGTGACCGTTTTAATCTGCTGCTAAATCAGGGTGAAACATATTTTCCCACCACTCGGTACACTGTGGATTAGGAAATGAAGATTTGTCTTTAGTTTTAATGGCGCACACACTGATGAGAGCATAAACCGCATGAGACGTGGCTTAGCGTGAACTGCATAATGCCATCACATGGTCTCAATCTCGTTGGCAAATACAACAGTGTGACCGTTTTAATCTGCTGCTAAATCAGGGTGAAACATATTTTCCCACCACTCGGTACACTGTGGATTAGGAAATGAAGATTTGTCTTTAGTTTTAATGGCGCACACACTGATGAGAGCATAAACCGCATGAGACGTGGCTTAGCGTGAACTGCATAATGCCATCACATGGTCTCAAT